TTCCATAGTTTGTAATCTTTAAGAGTGACGTCACAGTAAATCCAGAGGCAAAGTATTTTTTATCTGTTACTAGTTAATTTCATAGAAAAAACACCTTTCTACAAAATTCACAATACGATTCTAAAATCTTTAATCTCAAAAAACCGTAAATCGAAAGTAAACGATATCCGGTTATTTCCTTGCTTCCTATCTCCCAGCTGAACTTCATGCATCACGAATATCAGGATCACTTTGAAGATCCATAATTCAAGAAGATGTCTGGTTTTCAATCCAAAAATAACTTCGATAGACCCCGAACCTGTGCTTCCCACCCTCGATCCCTGCTCCTTATATAATACTAATCACGTTTGTCAATCAAGAATATTGCGTTCCATGAAAATGATAGCTACCTGCGAAACGGTTTAAATTTATTATACCATTCGGATCGAGGTGTCACTCGTGATTATGATACTATGAATGAAATTCCACTGACCCATGCGAAATTACCCTCGAACAGCACAGCAGGGCAACAACCGACTAGTAAACTTAGAGGTAGAAGGGAATTGCTTATGTGAGAGATGATGGGATCACTGAGAATGCAAAACACGGTTGATTGGGTCATAAATTTCACCGGTTCGATTCGTCCGACGGTAGCCGGCGAGAATCTCGCGCGCAAGAAGTTCTAGTTAATCCGTCACGGGCATTAGACGGTGTAATCCATCAAGCCGGTAGCGACTTGAGAGGTAGGTAACCGTGAAAACGAAAATGGGGCCTGTAATGCAATTATACGCCGTTCCACCATCGCCCTTGTCCCTCCGGCAACCATTTTACACGACGGAAGGGAGGACCGAAGTAAAACCTGCCTCTCCGCTCTCCTCCACTGAGATTTTTCTAATCATCGTAAAACGCGCATGTTTCTCTTTAGTTTTTCAACCAAAGATCAACGATTTTGTCAACTTTTCGGTCGGCCTTCTCTTTTAATCGAGACGCGAATCTTATAATGATTAAACTATAGATTTCGTGCATTTACAAAAAATTGCAGTTAATTGCAAATAGTGGAATGATAGAGTTTTCAATTATTTTGCATAAAACACTGCAGTTTATATCTACTTATAATTAAACGATGAAGAGCGATACAGTTTTCACTTACCTGGACCCGAGCTTCCGTCAAGTCGATCTTCATAGCGATTTCCTCTCTGGTGTAGATGTCCGGGTAGTGAGTCTCCTGGAAGGCACGCTCCAACTCCTTCAGCTGAGCCGACGTGAAGGTTGTTCGTATCCGACGTTGTTTCCTTTTCTCCGCCAGGCCGTCGTGCCCCGAATATGCCTTGTATCCTAATCCACCTGAAAAATCCAACAAGCAGAGAACTGTTAAACATTTACTGATATTAAAAACCAAAAGAAGATATTCTAGAAATCAATGATAGCGAAAGCACTTAAAATTCTCCAGGAACTTGAATGAACCTCTGAATCACGTCTATATTTCTGGTTAATAATGAATTAAGTAATTGAAAATTGATAGGTTTGGCCATGGTTGAATCCTTCATCCAGGGAGATTGATAAGGCATGAAGGAAATCAGTGTGGTCGGATTACTCGGGGCAGGAAGCAGCGTTTTGGAAGACTTCGGTGGCAGCTTATAGATTATAGAATATAGCGAGGATGGCTGGGATACCGAGCGACGTAACCATAGCAATAAGTGACGGAAGGAGAGGGCGAGAAAGAGTGAGAGTCAGAGGGGTTGAGTAAATGAGGGAGACGAAGAAAGAGAGGCAAGAATACGAACGGAGGAGAGAGACAGACGGAGGACGGGACATCCATTGATTTTCAGTGCCATCTTGTCGTCGTTTCCGCAGGAAATACCGTGGTGGTACGACTCGCGGAGACGCGACTTTCCCCTGAGAGAAGAAGGACCACCCTCAATTTTTTATAAAAGACGCTCCGCCTTCTTACTTCGATTGATAGTATTTTCTGACTGGGAATTTTAATCGGAATTTCCAATAGATTTATACAGTCCGTGAAGAATTACTAAGTGCCTTTGATTGAACCCTCAGGATTTTACTAATTTTAACGAATTGTTAAACCGGTAAGAGAATGTAGCTGGGAGTTAATCGAACTCTCAGTAGACTACGAAAAAAGTGACGAGAAGTTTGGTATTTTGGCAAATTCTTACTTCCTGTATAAAGAAACAAGCTACCCAAGTTTCACAACGAACGCAGTAATTCAGAAATTAATGATACATTCCTCAATTAATCAGAACCAAATGATTCAGAATTGCACTCGTAATTGAAAACATATGAAATGTCTCACTACCTTTTAAGTGAATATAAATAATTGTCGGAGCACTCACTTTGGAGATTGATGGCCGACGGGAAGATGGAAGCGGCGTGCCGATGGACCTCTTGAGATCTAGCGGCCATCACGGAGCAGGGTGTCGCGTGGGCCCCATGATGCGCGTGGGCATGAGAGTGGGTGGTGTGATGGGCCCCCAGCGGCGTGGTGCTTCCGGTACTCGCGGTTCCCGCGTTCCCCGGATAACCCGCGGCCCTCGCCGCCGTGTACCGATACGCGGCTTGGCTCATCTGCGAGCACGAGCTCAGGTCCCCGTAACCACACTGCATCTCACTAGCTGCGAGGGCACAGCTGGAAGCCTCGAAGCCGGCCGCTGCAGCAGCCGCCGCCTGGTTCAAGTAGGAATAATCCATGTCTTAAAAAGTGTTCCTCACGGCCCGGCGCAGGTAGCTCGACGATGACACCGCGAGAGCTTCTTATCTTCTCTTCATTGTGGTTCCCGGACGACACGTCGAGTCGAACTTCGATTTTCTATCCACTGAAACACACCGCTCGAGATCGATTAGACGAGGACCAACTTCGACGACACCGGGACACGTTTCACGGGGTTTCATCGGCTCGTTCAATCGCACATGTTGATCGGATCAGCCGCGGGGGGCCCGACGGGCCGTGGCCGCGACGACGCGTTCCTCCGGCGACCCGTTCAGTCAGCTGCTGCTACTGCAGCGTGTTTCTTCCTCGGAATCTCGGGTAATCGTTCGGGTTAATCGTCCCAGGGCTGGATCCCGCGACGGGGCAGCAATTCTCTCCGGCCGCGGATGAGAGAAGCTAAGGGACGCGGTCGGCAGCCCGATAGCGGCTTATGACGCGTAATCGGATCAGCGATATCAAATTATTGCGATTATAGCCGCGGATAGAAGGAAGTTTTTCGGCCCGCTTAAGAGAGCCCGACGACGACCGACTGGTGGGTCTCCTCAAAATCAAATGATAAGCTTAATTCAATAACTGACGGAGAGAGTGCACGCCGGGGGTGTGGTCCCGGTTGGCTCGAGCCGGAACGGGCTTGGTCACCTTCCGCAGCTGCCTCGACGGTGGTTGGTCGATCCCTCTGCCACCCTCGCCGTTGGATGAAGCCGTAGTCGCCGCCTACCGGTTCTCCTCCGTTTTCATCCCCCGAGCCACCCCCGGCGAACTCTCCCCAACAGCCATCAGCTCGAATGAACGCTATCATTCGATGATGCCGACCCTCTCTCCTCCGGTCTCGATTTTACGATCGATTCCGGAACAGGCCGTTTCCGCTGGACACCAGAGACAGCCGAACCAGCGTGTTTACCCTCGGCTCCTTCCAGCGTTCACGAAGATTCGACGGCTGATCCCTCGTTTTTGAATGAAGCCAAGATGATGGATTCGGTGGCTGGCCTGAATGAGTTGAACTTGGAGCTCAACATGCTGCTTATTACTTATTGATTTGCCTGATAGAGATAGAAGCGTGGTAATATAATAAAAAGAGTGGAAGAAGCCTCACATAAGAATTCAAATGGCACAAAGAGGACAAGAATGAGACGTCGTGAAACATCTTGACATTGTCAAGGCATTAAAAATATCCAACCTTCAGAGTACAGAGTTATATGCATAAAAGTAAATAGAAATGATACTTGCTCGAAAGCAACACACGTTCAAATCAATTTTCCTTTAGAATCACACTTACACCTCGCAGCGGACAGACCAAACGCCGCGGCCAGCTGGTAGCTGTAGTGTATGAAGTATGATTTATTCGGAGATAGAGAAATTACATGACTAAACGGGACGCGGGACAGGGGATCTTGGATAGGTAGTAGGAACCTGTGCGACACTTGTTCCGCACTTGTTCTCACGATGAGAGCAGTCCTGCCAGCTCGACCCTCTTCCCCGTGTCTCGTCCCGAGGGAATTCTCTTCCCGGCTACGCAACATCGAATCGCCTATAGTGTTGTGTATACTGAGAACACACAGGAACACTCCACCCTCATTGGCGTAGACTCTTCTTAAGCTGCACAAAAGAAACATAATTTTGAAAATAAATGAACAAAGGATAGACAAGCATTTGGAAGCTGCAGTGACGAATAAAACATTTGTACTATCGATTTAAAAAATATCATCGATATAGGAATTTTCATCACCGTTTGAACAAGTAGACTTCATAATTTTATATATTAAACGCATTCCTGCAGGTTTTATGAAATCGAGGTCTCACGAGTTTAATGAAATTTGGCGGGTGTCTACGCCGGTGGAGGCAACGCAAACAGGCGTAAGCGCGTGAATACACGCGCAGCCGGCGTTACGTCTTTTATATCAATACAGAGAGAACGTCAACCCCCCTTAGCGGTCTGATACATATGTCCTTGATTTGTCCGGAGAATAATATTCTCCAGGAAAGTTGATTAAATATTGGTTACTGATCTCGGGCCCTTCGCCCCCTGTCGCGTTCCCACCCCACCGGCCCCCGGACACCCGTAGGAATACTACAATTTCACATTTCCACGTCCCACGGAAAATCACACGTCCTCGCAAAGAAAGAAATTCATTTATCGCGACGATCACCCACTTACGATTTTCTATTGTTTAAAAACGGCACCACACGAACTGCGATCGTAACGGTCGAATGCAACATGCATTATCATTGTACTGCGCGTGAAATATCGAGCAAGTAATTTATACATTATATACGCGGTTGGAAACTGTTGATTAAAATGGGGCTGCAATTATTCGTTCGCCACTTTTCCAGCAGATTATTACGAGCTAATCCTGCTTATCGCGTAGCACGCGTCCCGTTAATCGCACCTTTGAGTGCTTAAAATGGCGTTGGAAAATTGCAGCTTTGTTCTACGTAGGTTATAAATGCGAAAAACATTGGACTGTATCGAATACGATATTTGATAAGGCTCACCGATCAGCACCGATGGAATGGCATGCTTCCCTGCTTCCTCCCGGCACGAGTTCACATAAATTATTAACGAAAACGAACGCATAATTACGCGAATGCACGAGACACTTCCAGGACTTTCGACGGACCGTTAATAAACCGCCTTCTTTTGCCGCCAATATGGACCACCACAGATGGCATACGAAACAGTTTAATCATTTTGCTAATTATGCTTAATGAATTGTAATCGTATCTATTTGACTGAATTTAATGAATAATTATAATAGAACTGTTTCTTTTAATAGAGAGAATTCGCGTAAATTGTTTTTAAATATAAATTATTAAATAGAAATTATACGGAATTTATTTTAAATACGTGACTACATTTGATTGGTGCCCACATTGTTCTTTGGCGGGAGAATGCTTTCGTGAGTATAGTGTGTGCATAGTGTGGAGGTGAAGGAAGTGTCAAACGGCTGTGATAGAAATATTGGTTTTTTATTGTAAATTTTATATGAAAGTTGTAATCTGATGACAAAAATCCAGTTGGAAAGAAATCTCAGCTGTTACAAGGTAAGTTTCGATACAATTTCAACCTGAAATCTTTTTAATGAGTAAATTCCATGGGGTGTGGCGAACGACGACAAGTGGCATTGTAATTACAACGAAAATTAGACGTTGAATTTAATTCGTACGTCGTATACAAAAATCATTGAATTATTTGTACGAGTGTATATTACAAGTGTCTTAGAACACAACAATGCAGTTTCAAATAAATAATACACTTGATTAATAAAAATAAAAGATACAATACGAATGATTACAGATTATGCTGATTCTTATATATTAATGATGTTAATTCTTGTCATTTATCTAAATATTCATCGTCTCGAAAAAGAACATAAATTTTCGTATGCTCGCCGAAGTGCAAGAACGGATTTATATTTAATTCAGCTTAAATGAACATTTCATTTTTTATAGTAAATCGTTGGGTTCTGTAGGCAAACATCGTGTTCTGAAAATGAGAAAAAGAGATTAAATCTGAAAATTATAGCAGTCCACATTATTGCTGATTACAATTACTTACCATAATTGTGTTGATAATTTAATTGTTCCCAATTAACCCTCCTTTTCTTATTGTCTACGCAATTGGTTACAAGATTATACTCAGGGTTTCTGATTTCCATTATATTCTGTTTCGGAACGTGAATCTCGCAAACATTTGAGGAAGGTTCCTTAACCAGAACCATTTTCGTGGGGTGCGAATATTCTTCGTGTGAAGCGTTAGGTACATTTGGCTTTACGTACAAAACTTTGTCCGATTCACAGGTCGGTACGAAGATAACTTCCTTGGCAGGTTCTTTGGGGCAAGATACCAAGCGATAATTGACGCTTGGGTCGATCACCTCCACGTTACATTTATTGTGCAAGTATATAGGAATCTTCTTAGTGTTTGAATCGTCGTTGAAAGCCAGGTATTTTATTGGTTGATGCTCGAGAAGCATAGCGTTCTCTCGCGACCTGACCTCGCGCTCCTTGATCAGCTTCAAGTTCTGCACGCCGTTCAGAATCCCGACGTCTTCTTGAGACAATCGTCCCTGTAACTGCCTCGTTCTATTATTATTCGAATACTCCTGCGCGTTACCATGCTTGCATTGGTCGAACACGACATAGCAAACATCATTACATGTATGATCACATTTATGCATTCCTCTTAACAAGTCCTCTTCGGGAATCGCCTGATTAATCGGTGCATTCTGGCCCTCGCGAAACTCCTGACTGCTGCTGCTGCAGTTCGGCTGCGACACTTCCGAGTTCTGCGAACGCTTGAACTCCCTGTAACAAGTCCCAGGTACCCTCTGACAGTTCCTGTGGACGTTACAAACGTTCTCATGCTCTCGAACGTTTTTCCTTATGACGCAAACGTTCTCACGCTCCGGAACATTTTTCCTTATGATGCAAACGTTCGGATTCTCTCTGCTCTCGCTGTTGACCACCCTGTTCATGTATAAAAACTGTCCTACGTTAATCGAGTCCTTCTTTGTCAACATCACTGTCTTCTGTACAGGATTGTTATTCTTCTGCGTGAAAATACTCTGATGAACCTGTGGCTTCTGTTTCGCTTTCCTATCTTTCATGAAACACTTATCGTCCTTGCGTGCGCTCGGCGACGCCTCTACGCAAGTCCGCGCGTTCTCAGGGTCGAACGCGAAATCCTCGGCCGCCTTCGATACCACAGGCGGAGTAAATACAACGTTCGCCGACATTTCGAATGACTTCGAAGAAAGGTCGAGTATATTCTGTCCGTCGTCAACCTCGTTCTTCCGCAACATAGTTGGGATATACTTCAGATTCTTCGGATTCATTTGGTACTTGTTCGTCTTCAAGTTTTGCACCCCAGAATACTTCTTTACTTTACTGTTTATCACGTGCTCGTGTGGGTTTTTCTCTTTTCTTATGTGTTTTCTATAAACAGGCTTGCTTTGTTCCGGCATGGGCGGAACAGGTTTATTTATTTCTTTCGTGTCCACTTCGAAGAACTTGAGATCGTTATTATTCCTTAAAATCGAAGAAATGCTGTGGTTCACATCAAGAGACGAACGGACGTTGTAACTTTCATTCGATTGCGGTTCGACCAAACTGTGCGAACTGGCGTCACGTATCTCCGAGGAATCGAATAAATTATTCTTATTTTTCAAAGTATCTGTTGTTGTTGTATCCTTGTACTTCTGATTTTGAACGTCTTCGGCCGTGAATAAGAAAGGATTGTTCAGCTTAGCTGCCGGTGAATAAAACGTACTGCTGCTGCTGCTGGTGCTGCATACAGGCGCATCGTCGTCTTTGAACACATCCCGCATAATTTGATAGCGGAACGACCGCGCGTAGGCGTTTCTCAACCTCTTCTTTACTTTCGTCAGCGGATCTGCAATCGTACAAAAATTAGGATCATAGAATTGCGAGAGGGGGGTTCCAGCAGTACCTTCGCCTGGGAACTTGAAATTGTTCTCCTCGAAATTCTCTCTGCTGATCGATTGACATAGTTCCTGGTATCTCTTCATCGCTGTATCGTAATACTCTCTGGAATCAATCCTGTGATTTGAAGATTTCGATAGGTCGGTAGCTCTCGGCTCTTCGGGCATCTTGCATTTGTTTCCTCTACAGATATTTATGTATCGTTGATTATATATTTTTATGTTTATTCTTCAATCATCGTAGATTCCCGATCAGATTTGAAGAACTTCATTTTTACCTGAGACCAGGGATGCCAGAATGTAGGATTTCTCCTCTTCCCGAGCTCTCCCCACTACCCCCACTACTGTATGCTGTTGTATGCTCAATGTACTCTCCCCACTCAGATATGACATTATCAGACATTTCCCCAATGATCATGGGTAACGTAAGTGGGGACAAAATAAAGTAGTCGGGAAGAGGAGAAATCCTACATTCTGGCATCCCTTCCTGAGACTCACCCATCCATTCTACCTAGAAAAGGACTTGTAGACTCATCACTGGAATATGGAATGAGGATATTTTTAGGATTAGGCTCCTTTTCGTTAGTATTCCCCACTACGATACTTCTGGAAATAAAGCAAACTTTTGGATCACGGCCAACTATTTCTCCGGTTCTACTTACTCTGATTTCGAGTCATAGCCATTCAGGAGTTTGCACATGTCCCCTTCTAAACGTGCGTTACCCGTGTCACCCATGGCTGGACTCGTTTGAGCTAACAATCAATTTTGATTAAATTCAGTCTCTTTTACATATAATTCAGACTCTTTTACAAATATTGAAATATAATTGCTTACACTTTCGTATCGCTTTTCCTAACGCGCCATTTCTGTATATCCCAGTTAACTGGAATAAAAATACAGTAATTAAAATTCATTTCATGTTTCCCTCTTTCTCTACTCTATAGCGATCTTTAATAATAATTACAGGTTTCGGAAGAATCCTGGTGGCCAAGTTCTTCATACTTTGCGGCTTCTTCGACTTCCTATCGATCTTCGTTTGCTTCTCCTGGAAGACGGATATTTCAAAAATAATTAGGACCAAGCATGGAAACGAAGGTAAAAAAAGATTGTTTATTATACATATTCTTTTCGAAGATCGTCGAAGCCTTCTACAAGCTTTACGAAATTACTCTGCTGCCGTTTTTTCTGAAAAATTCACACGCACTCGGAAATAAAAATCGTTCAAACTCTCTTCACATGCTCGCATTTAAAATAAACGGGAGGGTACAGTGTTAATATTATTAGTGTGTTTCGCTATTTCATTCGATTCATCGACAGACGCGACAATGTGCGTATAGACAATTCATTCAAACATTAAGAACAAGATTATATATGCTCTACATCTTACAAATAGAGATATTAAATTAATACTATATTAATTGATAAAATATTTAATGGCACGTGCCAATTAACCTAACAAACGTACAACAAATACATGCACAGATTGAAAATAATGTCACACACTTCTACATAGATTTGTGGACGAAAGTATCGGATATAAATTGGAATGGAAGGATAAATTTTAGATATGACTATTAAATTATAATGATTCCGCACCTTTTTCGGTTTTGATAGCCTCTGACGTATATCTATCAAATCCCTTTTACGTTTTCTCTTTTTCCTACGAACTTTCCGCTCCTCGCGTACTGTTTTTCTCCGTTCGTCGACGGAGGTATCACTGGCTGAGTCCTGACCCGATCTTTCCATTTTACAAAATAAAAATAAGACGAATATTGTGTGCACGAAAATACGAGTAGTATGAGCGTCTCAATGTTTATTTACCTCGCTTCTTATAGCAAATAATCACGTGTTACAATAAACGCAATAGTCTGTGTTCATCCAAGGGATGATCTTATTTAGAATTAATTAATCGAGCGAATACTAATAATAAGAATCTGACCATTTTTCAAGGTCTTTGCAAACGACTATTAACAAAGGATTGTATTAAATTAGATAACAGTAACAGAGGATTTTATTAAATTGAATATCGATTTTAAATGTAGGAGACGATTAGCTGAACGTATGGTAAAATATAGGAGATTGTCTGGTAACATAGACTGGTTTTGTCCAGTTTTGGCAAGTACAGAGAAAAACTCGGGTAAAAACGTCGTTGTAAACAAACATATAGTGCCCGGTCATTTAGTATCTCAGTCTCGCACGCAGGGTACAGACGTATATTCATTATCCGAGGCAGTACATAAAGCCCACGATTCATGTGAATCGTAAATTAATTAATTAGTTATACATATTGTTGTTATTTTTGCGTCATTAACAAAAGGTTTTACGGTTTAAAAAGTGAAAATGGTGAATAGATTCGTGGAACGGTGTTCAAATGTTGCGTTAGTCAAGTGAGGTGTTATATAAAATACTTTTCACTGTTAATAATTGTTAGTACGTATCCTTAACATCATTTTCATTCATACTTTTATTAAGCAAATGAGAGAATCGATATTTCGTGAGGTTAAATCGCGAGTAACTGAATTTTACTCTTTTATTAAACTCTCAACGAGCCACGAGTAGGACGCCATATTTATTCCGTTCGAGTCGCCGAATCCTGCAGTGAACGCGTCTTCCAATTGTTCACAGTTTTTACTGAATTAGTACTCTTTTTGTCCTTTGAATTCTTGATAATATTGTGTTTAGTGCAAGTATTAGAATCTGTGAATCGATCCTGAAATTTGAGATATCGACTCCCTCGCAAGAAATTACTGTTCACTCAGAAGGCTAATGGATCTTCACTTTGCACATCGAAAACTGCAAGGTAGTATTCACATTCTCGTTTCGTACTTACTTATTTCTCAGATTACAGCCTCAGAGATTCTATATTTGTAGATATTTCCTCTGCCGGTTCCAAATTATTGCAGGTTATATCGCACAAAGCACTTTTATGCACACGAGTTCCGCGAGGATTAATGCCGATTCATACATAAGTTCTATCACCGAACCTTAGAGTTACTGTAGATAGAGTAGGGAAGGCATAGGCTCGTGTACAGGTATGACGGTAGATACTGAAAGAAAATAGAAAGCCTCATGGAAAACCTCTTTCTATCTCTTCCTATCATGCGCTAGTAGAAAGCAGGGATCGCATAATTTTTCCTTCGACCGGAAAGTGGGGACGATGCGACCATGGTGGGGTTTGGTACTTGATGGGGGTATGCTAGGCATGGTCAGCGAAGGCGTATGAGGGGAATAGTAGTGGGACTCGAAAGACGGGCGGAAAAGAGGGGAAGTGAGCCGTGAGGGAAAAATTATGCGCACCCTGGACACTAATATTTATTTGTAACGTAAAGTTTATCTGTTCGGATAAATACAGTCTGACCATTGACTACAGCATTACAAACGAATGCTCTACCCTGTGCCCTCTAGGTACTAGACTATAGAATCATTTGCAGGATGATTAGGTATTGTTTTATACATCTTATATAAATATTCTTGTAATGAGAAGTTAAAGATTTGTTAAATAGGGTAAGATGCATGGAATGAACTTCTTGAGACAGCTTAAAATATTGTCTCAACGAAGTTTCCGTAGTGTAGTGGTTATCACGTGTGCTTCACACGCACAAGGTCCCCGGTTCGATCCCGGGCGGAAACAGTTTCTTTTTACATTTTGCGGTTTGTTTTAATACTGATACTTATATATTTTAATCTTGCATTTGAATCTATATCGAGAAACTGACCCTTAAGGAGGTTCTTCCGCTTACGGCAGACATGGGCAAAAGTGGCTCTCGAGAGCCATGGTGGCTATGGTGGGAATGCAATGCTTAACGCTATGTAACGTACAGACGCGTATCTACATTTACAAATAGTAGGGAGAGCGATTAGTATGGGTAAAAATGATTTGCCCATGCCTGCCGTAACCTTTACAACTGAGAGTACAGGAAAAAGCGTGTAAAAGCAGTTGTAAAGGCTAAGGTACTTAAGAGACCTTAAGAGTGCGTTTATGGCCGGTATTCAGAGTCATTGCTTATTCTTAAGATAGTCTTAAGCATTTGCTTAAGTCCCTGTTCCCTGTACAAGACAAGGACTAGAAATATGAGATATACAGGGATAGCAAATTCTTAAGACAATCTTAAGAATAAGTAACGACTCTGAATCCGGCCTATAAGAACCCATTTTTTATATTGATTTTTCTCGGATACTATATAGGCTTTGTAGGTTTATAGGGATTGTAGATTGATTCAAAATTTTAACAGGATATTCATTACACATTAACCATTGAATTTAAATAGTTTGCAAGATCTTTTTAATTTACACATTTCACGAACCTCCTTAAAATGTAATACCTGTGAAATTAGAGCATGTATCGTGAGAGTTATTGATCAATGAGAGAAGCAGCGTTTCTGCTTTATCTTCTACGAGTATCACTCAATTCTTTTATTACTTTTCTAAGTAACGTTTTATTTATCGTAACGCTCGACGTGGAAAAGCGTCCACAATTTTTCTATCGTTGGTTTTAAAGCTGAATTTGGAAATTCAGCTTGGTTGTTACAACCGTCGATAAGTTCGTGTACAGAATTGAAATCTGTGGCTCTCAGTTAGATGTCGGATGAATTCACTTTGCCAGAGAAGTATCTTTATTTTATACTACGAATCCCATACTTTTTATTCTCATTGTATTTATTTATTAACCAGGTTTTTTCTTATATGATTTAAATAGGCTTTCTATTAGAAAATTGCTTCAAGGCCTATCGATCATTTCTATTTCGTGCTGTGTGACTGTTTGTCGTATATTTTAAGACCGTTTTATCACTCACGCGCGTAATTACGGTGCGGGTTTACGAGGTCTGCGAGCCGATCTTAAATCGGGACTCGAATCGCACCACGAAACGAGCATATTCGATAGGATTACAACATCTACCCTCCCTACAGTTTACACTGTTTGTCCCAGATAAAATTAATCAATTTTCTGAACAGAAAAGTTTGTTAAAATTGTATTAAAC